AGGGGTAGACCTGGCCTCCGGAGGAGGCCAGGTCTACTCACCCCTTCCCCATCCCTTCCCCTTCCCACCTTCCAAGGGGCGGGGCCCACGGGAGGGAGGAAGAGGAAGCAGAAGGGGGAGGTAAGTACACCCCATCCCCCTCGGCTCTTCCCCCCCACCCCGCCTTCGTAGCGAGGCCTCGGGAGGCTTCAGCCACCTGGGCCTCGCTACCCCGCCCGCCGCCGCCGCCGCCCTGCTTCCCGGCCGCCCGCCGCTTGCCTTCCAAGCGATGCGCACGGAACGCTCTTGCACTTTCGGAGGGATTTAAACATCCCCCTGAAAGTTTTTTCAAGTTTTAGGATTTTTGTGCACCCCTGGGGACTGCCCCAGGAGTGCACAGACCTCCCCCTGCCCCCCAAGTGCCCCCGAAGTGCGGATATAGCGATCCGCACGGAGGGGGCAACTTGGCTATTAGATATAGTGATGATGATTGTTGCAAATGGGGGTGGGGGATGGGTGGAGACGGCTGTATATAGTAGGAGACCCAGAGAAGAAATAACTGGGCAAGGCTCTCTTCCCTGGCAGAGCCCAGAGTTTCAGCTTCGCCACACAGACTCCACCTATGGTAGCGCACTTAGATATGCCTTTCGTGAATTTTAGCACTTCAAAAAGTTGTGTTTTTTAAGGAGTTTTATGACTGACAGCAATTGAAATGAATTCCTTTTAATTTTTAGGACTTCCTTCAGGTAGCTTTCAAAGTTGTTTTGAAGTGTGGCTTACGAAAAGAATCCTGTACATGACTTTAGCAGCAGAGATGAAATACAGTTTTAGAAAAAGCCTTAGTTCAGTGCATTTAACAGCTCCATTGCCTACAACAGGGGTCTCTTAAAACCACCCCTCTCAGCAAATTCTGCTGAGGAACAGCTAGATTAGTTTTGTATGTGTGTTTGTGGGGTGAACAAGCCTTACAAACGCCATAATTTGAAGCAGACCAGGTCTGGCCTAAATCATGAGTGGAATTAAGGATCCCCCCCCCCCCGCAGTAGGGATGAGCACACATGGGGGACTATAGTCCAGAAGCCGTATCAGACCCAACCCTAGTTTCAGCCCAGCACAATCTTTGACAGCAAACTTCAGGATAGCTCACACCATATTCTTCTCGTACACACAGGCCTCTACAGACAACTGCCTCTTTTTTCACACCTACACAGATTCCGGCTGTACCCAGAAGCAGGCACAGCTATTCCCATGATCCCATCAGCTGGATGGAGTCAGGGGAGAGACCACTGCTGTTTGTACAGGCCAGCATCTGGTGTACATGTGGTATTAAGGCCCAGCACCAGAGATTGATAACTCTAGCTCCTGCTAAGGTCCACACCTCAGCAGGAGGACTACTGCCAGCCACCTGAGCCCTGTGGACCATCCGCTCTTCTGGGCAAGAGAGCAAGCAATGACCAAGCCAGAGGAAAGAACAACATCAGCAGCTTCCACTTCTAAGCAACAGCAGGCACTGGGCCCAGGGCTCCAAACAGCATGGAGGGTATTTTGGGAAGGATTGTCTGTAGAAAAGCACCTGTGAATCGGCCTTCACTTTTATGGAATGAGGAAGGTGGTGGCATGAGTGTTCCCCCGCAGTTGCAAGGGCTGCTCAAGAGCAACACAGATGCTGTTTCTTGGCCCTCACCCTGCTAAGGCCTGGTCTAAATGTTACACTTTGAAAACGCCAGGTGTTGTTTTCATATGATGTACTCTGTTGGTAAAAATGACCACGCGGATGTGGCATGTCGAACTGTTAGCATGTTACAGCGAGAATTCTTTAATCAGACACTATCGCTTTAAACCTGTAGTATTTTGCAGCTTGCCCGATGGTCACAGGCAACATCATGTATCCATCCACGAGGGCATTTATCCCAATCCCAAACTGTCTAAAAAATACAGACCATCTAGCTTCTGTGTGTCTATGGCTCTCTTAAACACCAGCACTTCGGCTTTCCTTAAGAAGTTAATTATCCATTGGCTGTGAAACCTCTTTGGAGTCCCAAGAGAGGGGGAAATTCCATTGCAATGTAAATCCGCACTGCACATGTAAATCCCCAATGCACACATGGCAAGGATTCATGCCACCTACCACAGCACTAGCCAGTATTGTGGCAAGTGTAATATTCAGACCAGGCCTCTGTTGTGCCAAGATGACACTGTCTCCCCTCATGCTGCCGCCGACATCCCTGCCCTGAGTACTGCAAGGTTACACAGGCACAGTCTTGCTTTAACCAGTCAGAGCTGCCTCATCCCCCCCCCCCAGCCACCCTTGCTTGGATTACTTAGAGAGTCAGCTACATGCAGAGACATGCTTGAAGATTGGGGGGAAATAAAGGAAGATACTGAACGGAAAAAAAGGATGGAGGGGGAAAAAAATGAATGCAAACCAAAGTCTTCCTTTTTATGTCAACAAAAAAAGGAGGCTGTTAAAAAAATATAAGGTAGGTTTGGAGGAGGCGTACCCCGTTCGAATTCACCCTGACAAGATGTGTCTCACAAATGCTGTAGAAAGGAAGAAACATCAAAATTGATCAAGCGGATGAACAAACAAAACCAGACACATGGAACATCACTGACACCACCCCACTTGAGGCAGACAGCACATCTTTTGTAGCTCATGTTATTGTACTGCTAGGATGTCTTGTGATCTTTGTACCAATTATCTTCACGACATCCCAGAGACAGACACATACACCACAATGTTCATGTATTTGTTTACATGGAACCTTTGGCTCAGTTACATTCAGAGTAGCTTGACCCCAACAACAGGGCATTAACTCCTATGACAGAGTAACGTTGGCACTAAGCTTTCTTCTGATCCGTGAGCTCTCGTTACACACAACACTATGGAGTGCAAGTACCAGCCCATGTGACTGTTCCCAAGCTAGAACACTGGTGCCATTTACATGTTTGAGAGGAGCCACAAGACAAGGTGCAAGAGGAGAATCAGGGACAGACAGGAGTGCCTCAACATCAGCTCCTCCCCTCCATAATCCAAGCCCAGAAACATCCTCAAATGCCAGTGAGAACATGCAGTACACTAGGGCTGCAATCACACACCCTAAACCACTTTCAATGCACTTTCAAACTGGATTTTGCCAGTTCACACGGTAAAATCCAGTTTGAAAGTGCACTGAAAGTAGATTGAAAGTGGATTAATTAGCGTGTGTGATCGCAGCCAAGGACTCTGAAACAGCTTCACGTGCTCTTTGTGGGGAAAGAAAGATGGTTCCTTGCTGTATCTAATGGCACCTCCTGAGCCCAGCTATCTCCATTCCACTGCCGGAGTTGTTCTTCCTCTTTACAGAGATACATTTCTCCCAAATAAGAGGCAGACCCTGCAAACCCATTAGATGGGGAGAGACTGAATATTCAATGAACATCAGAGAATATGCTCTGGCCACCTCCATCCCTTACCTTCATAGTTAATGCACCCATTGCTGTCTTCATGGCCAGCTACCAGCATCTCCACTTCTTCCTCGGTCATTTTCTCCCCTGTAGGAAACACAGGCTGATTTAATGAGGCTTCACATTAAAAAAATGGGGGGGGGGGGAATCTAGGTCACATACTCCCCAGGCCCTGTCTCCTCTTGTAAGGAAAGTAAGGCCACCTAATGTGCTCCAGCTCAAACACTAGTCTCCCAATACAAGTGTACAATTTCAGGGATCTTTGGTCAATCAGCAGTTCCTTGTAACGTGTGCCCTCATTCCCACTGTGTTCAATTTTGGGGAGGGAGAAAAACTGGCTTCTCGATTTCATCAAAAGAGAGACAGCTGTTCTAAATCAAAACTCAGTTTATTCCATTACACATTCTTAAGTCAGAAAACATTTTTGTAGCATTTCAATATTCAACACAGAATATTTCAACACAACCCCAATACATAAACAGTGCACTTATAATTCTAAAAAGGATATCCTTGGTTGTTCCACCAACACCCATAATGGCAGGGTGGTTGATCTGAACAACCAGGAACAGGACTAAAATAAGACATGAAGTACCATCTTTCACCCACTGATGCAAATGTAACTGTCAAGTCTATGATGAGCATTTGACATATATCTGACATATACAACAAAGTCAGCCCCTTTATTTCTATATCTGGGGTCAGGAAAGTCAAGGAAAGCTGGGTTAAGCCAGGGTAACTCACAGAATGAAGGAAGCTAGTTTCTGATACTCTTATCTATTTAGAATTTGATAGTGACTTCTGCAAAGTATAAGCATTCCCAGAAATCAAAAGTCATGTGAGACAGTGTTGTGTACAGTGAAGGCCACAGTGCTCAGCAGTCCTGAAGCTTCCTGGGAAACAGAACCAAAGTTTCAACTTTATAGGCTAATTACTATAGATATTAAAGTATCATAGGTGTACCCGAGTTTTTGCAGAGTTTCAGCAAAGGACTGAGACTCAATCCAGCCCTAATTCCGCAACACATACATTTTTTTCAAGGTACCTATGGGTTGCACTATAACAACATATATGTACCCCGTGGGGGGGGGGGGGGGGGGACACTCCATTTTTCAAACCAACTCTCTCTTCTGCAGAATCTGGGAGGAGAGTGTAGATTTTGCCACTCTAGAAAACTTGGGAGAAGACACACGGGATCTCCAAATTCAACCCAGTGTTGGAGCAGCTCCATGCCCACCAGAAATTGTCTCAAAACAAGGATTAGTTCGAGAAGCTCAAGACTACTGAAGAAGCTGACTACTTTATGCACCCATTTGGTAGACCCCATTCAAGGGACCAACCAGCTTAGCTGCTACAGTTGCTGGTTCTCTGAGACCACATCATGCTGTGCCCAAAACAGGGAGAGATTCAGAATCCTGGGAAGTGTATGACATCTAGTAAGTGAAGCGCTTGGATTCTGGGTTTATATTCTTGGTTCTGCCACTGTAAGAAGAGAGATCATTCCCTCCGCTTTTAATCACAAGAACCTTTTAAAAGCAGTTGGGGTAGCCACAAAGGCCAGGGAGAATGATTTGTTGACAGATTTATTAAAGGTCAAGATTCAAGAAACTATAATCCAGCCATACCCAGAGTGACAAGAACATGGCGTATCTCTGCTCCCATGACTGTGCCGTTTCCCTCTTTGTCGAAGACCCTCAGCCCTTCTACGTAATCCTCAAAGCAGCCTTGATCCTTGTTCTTTGCAATGGTTTGCATCATGGGCAGGAACTGTTCGAAGCTTAGAGTTTTCACATTCATTTCTTTAAAAAGCACAAAGGGGAGAGGAGAAGGTGTTACAGGCAGTCAGTGGTATGCTGGGTGCCAGGAATTCTCTTGTAAGATACCCATTTCAGGACTGGAGTTTAGAACAGATGCTGAGGCTCAAGTTAAACCTAGGAACAGAGTAAAAATTCTGCACCAAGGTAATCCACAAAAAAGCAGAGTACCGTGGACTCTTCAACTTAATACATTTGCTCACAGTATGCTGTTCTGTTAGAAGTGGGAAAGAGCAGAGGAAGACAGTGGATAACCCACTGATCAAACACAAATTATGCTCAGCACTTCTTCGGGTTTTGGAGATTCCACAAGGGATGCACTGGTCACACACTTGCAAGACTAAGGACTAGAAGGTCCCCCCCCCCCAAAAAAATGCAGAGTTTTTCAGATTTCTGACTTCTGCACTCAAGAGTACAACGCTTGCAAGCTTCAGTTACAAGATACAAACAGTCTGCATTACAGCTGCTGCTTTATCTAATACACCTTCTATTTGCAGAGAAGCTCTCCTTGGACTACAAATTTCAGCATACAGGAAATCAGCAACCTTAACCCCCCCCCCTTTAAAAAAAACCTACACACACACACAAGGGAGCACAGAACTGCTGCAGGACCAGAGCCACTCACCATCACTCTTGGGGTTCCCCAGGACTTTCATGACCTCTGCATTGGTGGGATTCTGGCCCAAGGCCCTCATCACATCCCCACACTGGCTGTATAGGATCTTGCCATCTCCCGTTCTGTCAAAGAGTTGGAAAGCTTCCTTGAACTCTGCAGAGAGTCACAGTAAGCCAAGAGGGTTAGGACCTAAAGCAACACAGAGCTCAAAGACAACCACCATTTCATTCACACGCACGACAAACGGCACCTTAAAATCAGTGGCTTTTCCCACTCTCCAGCGCAAGGATGAACTGACTCCAGTCTAATAAAATACTATTGTTTTTCAAATAAGTACTAGAATCCCTGTGGTTCCACTGATATTTTTAATGTTTACAAAGCAAGACCATGTACTCAGGATCACTTAGCACCTACGGCATCAGTCTTAAAGTGACCCTGATTTTACAACTCCTATTTAAGAACACAAAGGCTGCCTTATGGGATCTGACCAAGGCCCACCAAGAGACAGACCGTGGTTGACTTCTGCCTGCCCCTACTTTAGGGACAGGGTCGAATGACCACAGAAGAAACAATGGACCTGCTGGAACAACTGGGTGCCGTTTCCTCTGCAGCCGCTTTCCCCAGTAAACCCCATCCTATCTGGGCAGCAGGGGGCTGAATGGGTTGCCTGCCCCATATTTGGAGGTCACAACATCAGTAAATCAACCTTTGTAACCCTGTTTTCCCACTACTTACCTTAGGCTCATACATGACCCTCCACTAATTAAATGCGGACCCCCCAAAAAAGCAATTGGAGCCCTTCCCCAATTCCCTCTAATCTAGCAGTATTCTGTGTTCCAGGAACAGATGCATGAAGTTTCTGAACAGAATCCAAATAAATCAATTGGTTCAACAGTCAGTGGGAGCAGCTATCTGGTGTTTGCCTCTATATGAATTTACTTTCTGCAACTTATGGTTTTGCTACCTGTGGGTCCTTAAACTATATTGCAACCTCATGCATTGATACCAGACAGCACCCCACACTTTGTTTTTGCTCCCATTCCAAGCCCCAGGTGGTACCAGGCAGACAGCCTTTTAGGTAGGAATTGGGATGCTCATATATTTCTCCCCCCCCCCGAAGGATGAGAGTGGCCAAAGACCACAACTTCGATCTAGAGAGAGATTAATTCTTCCCAAAGTAATCAGTCAAGTCACTCAATCCCTGCAGTTCCCTCATCTGGCAAGAGGGAAACAAAAGTAACTCCCAAAGCAATGCAACCTTTTATACAGTATATGCCAGCAGTATGGTGAAGTACACCAACAGGAATCAAGCTATCCCTTCACCCCTTACGTTTAAATTGTGGCTCCTCAAAATATGCCTCAGGTCTTTCTTTTAAAGGAAGGTATAGGAAGTTCAAAGAGATGGATCAGCTTGGAAGAGTTACAGAAAGGAAGAGCCTGGAAGAATTACTGAACCACCAGGAGGCAGTATGAGAGAGTACCACAAATCACACAAAAGGCCAAACAACAATTCTGAGAATACTTCTTTGGGCCGCTAGCCCCATGCAAGATTATTTTTAAAGAGAGATTGCCCCACCCCACTTCAGGTGGTACAGGAGAAAAGACTGTTCAAGTGGGAAGGAAGCTGGAGAGAATTCAAGCCAAAAGCTGTCTCATTGACCAACCCCTTCCCCCCCCAATCATAGATATCTAACCAGCCTGTTATCAGATATCAAGAGATACAATATGACTGACAAGGGCACAGTTTTGTCTCCTCTCCAAGCAGTATTCAGTTTCTCCAGGTACAGAGTTCAGGAAACTGGATCCTTAAAAGTAACCATATCAGTCTAATTGGGGGGGGGGGGGTAATCATCTTGACAGTACCTTCAAAACAAACTAATTCCCCCCAACCCAATTTCTACCAACTTCATCCTATGTGGCTACACTATTCAAAATTATTTTGGAAATGGTGTGGTGTGTGGGAGATTAAAGACCTATACACGTTGTCTGTAGTTTTATGCAAAGTTAAAGAAAGGCCAAAGTATAATCATATCACAAGTTGAAAAAGCCACTGGATATTTAATCCCATTGGAACCATTCACATTGTTATTAGATCATCTAGATGTGAACTTCATGCCACATCTGAGAAGGAAGCAGATATCATTATTGTTGACAGCAGCACAGTTTCTAATAGAGCCTAAGATGGAAATGTAAACAAATATCTCCTATCAAACAACGGTGGTGTGAGATCCTTCTACTAGACAAAACACCACAATTAAAAACAGTGAACAGCCCTACTGTCATCTTTTTCTTGATAATGTTGAAAAGTGAATGAAAATGCTTACTCAGAAGACCAAAGGAGACTATGAGCTTCTGTAGACTTGTCCATTTTGTCAGATGCTGAAGAGCAGCAATTTGCATTTTAAAGGGTGGACTCTTCAACTTAAGGAAGACAATCTTAAATTGTGCCATCATGCTTTATAATAAACTTATAATAATGATGTTATATATTATAACTAGCAGTAAAGCCCGTTGTGAAAGCAATACAACGGGATCTAAAAAGAGGCTCTGGGGGAGTGCTTTGGCTTTGGGCAAACAGTGTCAATTTGCTGTGGTGACCTCAGCAGGGTATAATGACAGAGTCCACTGTTTTCTCCAGAGGAACTGATCTCTGCTACCTGAAGAGCAGTTGTAATTGTGAGTGATCTGTAGCCCTCACCTGGAGATTGGCAGCAATTGTTACCCAGGACAAAGTGGCTGGTTTGGAGGGTGTAGTCTATGGCATTCTACCTGTCTGAGGTCCTACCCCTCTGCAAACCCCACCCTCTCCAGGCTCCACCCCTCAAATCCCCAGGAATTTGTCAGCATGTAGTTGGCAACCCCATATCCTTCCCAGCTAACCATCAACCTACCATTATCTGCCCCTTTGACTTCAGCTGACTTCTGCCCTCCCTTCTGCAGAGCAGTTGTAATTCTGAGTGCTCTCCAGCCCTCACCTGGAGATTGGCAACAATGGTTCCCTATGTGGGACTGACTGGTTTGGAGGGTGGAGTCTATGGCAGTGTACCTGTCTGAGGTCCCACCCCTCCTCAAACCTCACCCTCTTCAGGCTCCATCCCTCAAATCTCCAGGAATTTCCCATCTGGAGTTGGCAACCCTATCAGGACTGGCCCCAATGTGTTTTCTCCCAAAGGCCAAAGTAGGTGACAGGACCAAGCTTAGTTGCCTACCAACAGGCACTGAGGGGAATGTAGGGTTGCCAGCTCTAAGGAGGGAAATACCTGGAGGTTTGGGGGGTGGATTCTGTAGAGGGCAGCATTGGGCGGGGGGGCGAGGCGGAAGGACTCAGCAGGTATAATGTCATAGGGTCTACCCTCCAAAGCATCCATTTTCTCCAGGGGAACTGATCTCTGTCATCTGGAGATCAATTGTAACAGTGGGAGATCTCCAGGTCCCACCTGGAGATTGGCAACCCTAGGGGAAAGTCAGCTGCACAGCAGGGGGTTGAAGAGAATGGTTTGATGGCTGCTGGGCCAAGATTGGCAACAATAGTTCCCCAGGAGCCCCATCGTAAATGCACCAAACAATTCCTAAAGATTTTCCAAAACACTACTCTGTTTTGGGCTCCTGGGGAACTTTGAAGTAGCACCAAAGCTTTAAGATCTCTCCAGCTGTCACCTGGAGACTGGCAACAGCTTGTCTGGAGTGTGGGCAGTATGGCATTGTATCTGTCTGAGGTCCCCCTCTTCCTCCTCCTCCTCAGACCCCACCCTTTAGAACTTTGGCACCCACTACTCAATTATATATAAGGAGAGATATTTTATTTTATATATTACAATATTTTATTATTATATATACAAATAATAATAATAAAAAGGACATCCACAACTCCTATTAAGACCTTGGTTGTTAAATCCTTGCACCTGTTTTGCTGCAGCCAATTCCATTGATTGCCCTTGTTTTGAGATCCTTGATGGAATGCCCAGAAAGTTTAGAAGTTCTTAACCACCAGTCTGTTGGTGTTCTTGCAGTTGTGCTAGATTTGTGAACATCAGTCCTCCCTAAACAGGGTCTGGTCTGGCCTACTTGTGACTGCTGTTGGACCTGTTGACAAAATAGCCTATAATACAATATTTTTAGAGCTACATAAGAAGCAGCCTTGGATGTTTTAGATTGCATTGTTAGGACCTATAACAATGCTCTCAGTGTTACATTCAAGTACTTGTTATGCATTTCACAGTGGCAAGGTCTTGTGTCTTGGTGGTGAGATCCTTCAGTCATTTGATGGCCCACAAGCAGGTGTTTCAAACTGGATCAGCTGTCTGTTAAGCTATCATGGGTTTTCTACCAACTGCTTCTCTCAGCAAGTCACCACTCTCAAGGATGAGCTGTAGGTGATTTATGATTCACTTTGGTACATTTAACTTGGCGGTCTAATTTTAAAAAGGGACAGTCCTATAGTACAAAGTCACATATTAGTTCACAAGTTGTTTTCAAGGAGTAATTTTGGCCTTTGCTATTTGTTCACCATTCCTAGACTAGCAGTTCAAGGTTGCTCAGTGAAGATCTCCCAAGCATCTGTCTAGAATCGAAAATGCCATGGTGCATGACTGGTGACAGCAAAAGTTGGTATAGTGGTCACCTGGTTTCCTGTATAAGCTGGTCTCAGGCTTCATTTGTGCAACATTACCATGATAACCTACCTTGAGATATAACGGGATGATTAAATGGTAACTATTTAGAAAATATTGCTTTAAGATCAACAATGAAATGGTAACTTCAGAAGACCCACATCAATTTAAGATCAACAATTAAAGTGTTTGACATAGCAGCAATGCCAGGCGTAGGGCCATCACCACTAACAGACTGTTTTAAGATTATCTCCTTCACAGATTCCAAAGATGCCTTTATCCAGCTGGGCAACTCCCCAACAGCTAATTGCTCTGGACAGTCAACTCAAGATGCTTGTGCATTAATTCCCACCAAGCCTCCCACCTAGCAGAAGGGTCATCCCTGCCGTCTAAAAATGTTTTGGGCAGAGCCTCCACCAAGGTCATCCTTTTAGACAATTACGGTAACACTTGAACTAACCGCAGGACCTCATTTGTTCCAGAGAAGGGTTATTTCAAGGAGCAGTCTGTGAGCCGAAGAGATAAGAGTCCACTCCCTGCTTGGCAAAGGAGGGCTCAGAGACAGAATCCAGAGAGCACAACCTCTTCAGCCTCAATCCTTTTTCTATAGCAAAGGCTGGAATTAGCCTCAACTCATTTTGCTTCAGTGACAGCCTATGTCCAAAGTCTGGGGCAGGGGTGCACGTCAGGGTGTCCAGAGTGGAGACGGAATGCCTCGTCTGCTCACACAAATCTTTTCAGAGAAGTTGGAAGTAGCAATGCACAGCAGCTGAACTAGATTAGGGCACGAGGAGGACGGAGGGAGTCCCACTATCAAGAACCCCACCAGATCATCTACCACTAAAGCACCATATCCCTTAGCCTCTGCAGTAAGATTATATAGTGGAAGAGTTGATTTCTTACTATGCAATATACTTGGTGTTTTATTTAACTCATACCTGGAGGGGGGGGGAGAAGGGAGATAAGTACCAATTTTTCATAGCAATTTCAACCGGTTCTTCTGAGTGCTAGTCTAAGAACTAGTGTCCCCACTCTGCTCCTGCATGCATCATTTTTCCAGTTTATACCCCGCGCTCCCTGCCAAGGCAGGCTCAGGGCAGCTTCTTCTTACAAATGAAGCGGCTGCCTACCAAGTCAGCCCACCTAGCTTAGTATGTTACATCTGGGTCTACTCTCAAGCAGAAGTCTTTCTCAGCACAGCCTTCAACAAAGTTGAACTCAGGACCTAGACGCATGAGCTATGACCCCTCCCATCCTTGAGAAATGTTCCCCCCCTCAGGCTAGATGTTTTAGCTGGTACTTTAATGCCACTACAGCTTCAACTGCAAACAAACAGCTCTCCCACCAAACAATTAAACCAAACATTAAGTCATATCTCTGTATTTTTGAAGTGCCCATTTGTAGGCAGATCATAAAAGCCCAATGGCTTTTTTCCTACCCTAGATCCAGGGCTAGAAATTTCTCTGGAAGATGCTCTGCAGGGCTTCAGCTTGCTCCCAGTTGTCTGCATCAGCCTGTTCAGGGCTAAGTCAAGCCCCTGGATCTACGCTGTGACAGTACAGACCCAGGAGGTGATGGATGTACTTCTACTGGGGTGACAAAATACCTTGAACCACCCTGCTTATTATGTAAAGCCACTGAACCAGCAAGCTGAGGCCCTGCAGAGCATCAACCCCCTCCTCACTGTGCTGCTCCAGTAGTCCCTTGGGTGGCACTGGCCAGAGAACTTGCCCTTTTAATGAGAGCCACAGGCAGATTACAGCACAACTGTCCCTTGGCAGTTTCACTCCAATGCAAGTCTCCCTGTATTCAACCCTATGCTGGCACTGACAATATTCAGCCAAAGTCAAGCCAACACCGGACAGGCTTTCAACTCTGTATCTTTTACAATACTGCCCAGTTCTGAACCAATTTCCTACAGTATTGTGATACTTCACATTCCCAGATTTGGGGGAAAGTGCTAATATGGCCATAACCTCTTCAGACAATGAGTGTGGAAGCTGGAAGGTTGCACTTTTGAGTTTGATCGTTAAAAAAAATGTATTTCTCAAAACTGTAACCCATTTGACTGCGCAGTGTGTTATGCATATAAGTACCCGGCACAGCCCCTGGCAGAATCAAACTTTTAAGAGCAGGTAAGTCCTCCACTAATGCCTTTTCCAACCACTACTAAGTACAAGCATGCACCACCGTTACAACTACTTGGAGACTCTCCCTATTTATTTTAGTGGGGATGCGGACAATAACCAGCAACGGATTTTGCCGTTTATGGCCTCATTTCCGTCCCAGGGCCTGGGATCCGGGTTGGAATGTAGCTCCCAACCCCGCTTCATGTCGAAATGAGATTCTTGCCCATATAAGGAAATCAAACGAGAACACGAACCCGCGTGCCCATCTTTGACGATGGAAAACAAGGCTTTTGCTTCCAAAGAGCGGCTCCGAAACTGACGCCACCATTTCTCCCGCTGGATCCCAGCCCTCTTTTCTAACAATGTCTATTCGAACCCAGTTCCAACAGACGCTTGCGCCGGGGGGGAAAAAAAAAGAGAAGGGGAAGCGGAGCAGCCATTTCCACCGGCCTTGCTCAACCGCATCCTGTTCGCGAGCAACGCAGAACTTGGATTCTGAGAGAGAGAGAGACCCACGAGCCAACTCGGTGCCCCTCGGGCCCGCTTCTCTCTGATCGCTTTGGCTGAACAGAAGAGCACACATAGCACCTGCCTGGGAAGCTGACAACGGAGGCTACCAGCTAAGCTGGGTGGGTCCTTTCAGGAGGTTTCAACCAGGAAATAACATCATGCATGAGCCATGCAAAGAAAGTCAAGCGAATTCCCGTGCAGAACGGCTGGGTACGGGTGCGGTCGAGTTTAAGGAAGGGGGGGGAGGCGACACTCAAATCCAAACTAGCTCAAAGACCCCAAAAGCCTAATTATGCGGAACTTCCGGGGCGCGTGGGGAAGAATCGACACATTAGCAAAGGAGCCACGAAACGGGTTAGACGAGGGTACAATCCACCGTTTCACACACACAGACTCACCATCCAGGGGGCTGCAATCAAGAGATGGGAGTGGGGGGACAGTAGAGTGGCTAGAAAAATCAGAGGAAGGAGACAGAACCGTAAATCCAACCGCCTTTACGCGGATTTAGGACTCCGAATTTGGTTAAGTCTTGGAATATAGGAATGATGCACTGTCCTGTTATTCGGCCCTGCCGCCCGCTTCCCTTGGGCCCTTATCCATCCCAGGTTCCCAACTCCCCAAAGCGAGAGGGCGTAAAGAGCACCTTACCAGCGGTCTGATCTTCCGAGAAGTCACACTGTAGGCAACAAACAGAACCAAAAAGAAGCCGGTTAACCGTGCAAAAGGAAGCCAGTCAAGGGACCTGGCTGAGACTGACACAGGCCCTTGTTACAAGGAGCAGGATGCCAGTCCAGCTCCGCGCCGCCGCCACCCCCGGTTCCCCCTTCCATTCAAGGTGACCCGGGGTCCTGCTAATAACCCAGTTTGGCTATTTGCTCACTGGAGCCTTAAAAACTTCAGACATCCCGAGCCTCCCCAAGATCCGCAGCCCAAGCAGACTGCAAAAAAAGCACCCACCATTATTGCTGCTCCGAGAGTTCCTCTGTGCTACAAGCTGATGATTCCCTCCTTCCGCCCTAAACCTTTCTGCTGGCTGGCGCTGAGGTCACCGCACCGATATTCAACGCCCATTGGCTGGTGCAAGAAACTAGAGGCGGAGATAAAACGAGCTCACACGATTGACTAATGGCTCCTGTATTATTCAGGGCGGGGGAGTTTCACCATCGGTCTCACGGAAATTGCGCGAAGGATCGATTCGAATTCAACTTGCCCGTACGCGGGCGTTGTATAGCTGGGTCGTTGTGTTGCATCATGGAAAATATCGGGTTGGGTGTTTAAATTTTTACCAGTTTTTACCTAGTTGCCCTAACTCCTGTAGTTATGAGTTATCTAGTTGAGTTGTTTGCTACTCTTTTTTATTCACTATTTACTCAGCTCCTGTATTATTCAGGGCGGGGGAGTTTCACCATCGGTCTCACGGAAATTGCGCGAAGGATCGATTCGAATTCAACTTGCCCGTACGCGGGCGTTGTATAGCTGGGTCGTTGTGTTGCATCATGGAAAATATCGGGTTGGGTGTTTAAATTTTTACCAGTTTTTACCTAGTTGCCCTAACTCCTGTAGTTATGAGTTATCTAGTTGAGTTGTTTGCTACTCTTTTTTATTCACTATTTACTCAAATGCAAGACGCGGTTTATTTCCAGGTATACTATTAAAAATAGTTGCCTTAAATTTGTGTGCAAGTTTTTTTCCTGTCGTCTGAAGATCAGCGGTAGTCCCACGGGATCTTCAGGCTCCACCTGGAAGTTGGCAACCTTGCCTCCAAATCTCCAGGACTTTCCCCAACCCAGAGTCAGCGGCAAAGCAGCGCTCTAAATTCTTTTGTCGAATTGATGTGTGTGTTTTAAAATCGGTTAGTTTTCCAGGAAATACTTTGTTCTTTATTATAAGGTAGTCACAATCCCTCACCAGGAGATAAAAACTAGGCGGCACAGCACTGTAGTGGGGGGTAATCTGTTGGAACAAAATATGTATACCTTAATGGTACAACTTGTGCTGTACCTTTCTTCCTCTTGATGGCAGACTCTCTTTGGGCCAAGGTTAGAGAGTGGTGGGGTTTTTTTTGGGGGGGGGGTTTGGGTAAAATTACAAAAGGGGGGGGAGTACTTCAAAGTGGAAGGAGGAGAAACTGGTTCTTCTGACAAAGTTTGTGTTGACGAAGTGTGCATGCACACGAAAGCTTGTACCCAGAATTAAACTTTGTTGGTCTTAAAGGTACCACTGGACTCAAACCATCAGACCAACACGGCTACCCACCTGAATCTGTGGTTCTTCTGACAGTAGTTTTTGATCCAAAATTACTGTTCCCTAACTTCCCTTGCTGCTGAGCCTGCTCTAGTTCTGGAACGGGGGGGGGGCTCCGTACACACTTGGAGCTGGGTTAAAAAGCCACCACATCACAAGTGGTGTTTTCGTTTCCCCGTGCTGTCTGAACGTGGGGCAGCATGCACAGAACGGATTTGGCAGTCCGAACCTGCAGATCCATTCTGCTGCCAGGAAGGCATCTTTTTTGTTTGTTTTAATTGCCTGTGTGAGCATGTGCACATGAATTTTGGAATCTTTTTGGCAGCGTGCTCCATGGCTGAGGCGCTGCAATAATGTGGATGCTTTACCACAGGATGTCGCCGTGGGTGACCCGCAGCAGGGTGTGCTGTGTGGTTGATATGCCCCACAACACTTTAAACCAGTTCAATTAATGGCGGCACCATATTGCACCAAGCTGCCAGTGTGGACACGGCCACTGACTGGCAGCAGCTCCCCAAGATGTCAGGCAGAGGTCTTTCACATCACCTGACTGCCTGAGCCTTTCCAATGGAGAGGTGATGGAGTGCAGCGGTACTTGGTTGCAGGCCATCTCCTGGAACTCCTTTCTCAAAGGAGTTCCCGCGCAAAAATAGATGCTCACTTTGATCTCACTGTGCCACTTCAGCCTATAGATGGAGGGAAGGTGTCACATGAGTAGTGAGCAGTACTCCCAAAGGGGGGGAAAACCCTTTCATATGGACAATTAGTATGTCACGTAGAATGATTTGAGCTCAGTTTCTCTGATAAATTTGTTTCCTGTGTGGATTTTTTTTTGTAGGGACTCGCGTTCAGTCCCACAAGTCCCCGCTTATCACACAAAGTGGTAGATAAAAACATAAGAGAAGCCATGTTGGATCAGGCCAGTGGCCCATCCAGTCCAACACTCTGTGTCACACAGCAGCCAAAACACAGGTGCTATTAGGAGGCCTACCACCGGGGACAGAACTCCAGAAGCCCTCCTGCTGTTGCCCCCCAAGCACCAAGAATACAGAGCATCACTGCCCAACGAGAATCGGCAAGATATGCATAGAGAGAATCCAAGTCAGTTACATAAAACAAAGAAACGTTTATTTCTTCAAAATGCGTCTCTGCAGTTAAAAACAAAATTGCATCACCAACGGAGTGTCTCATGGGGAGGAGATACCAAAATCCCCCAAGTATATAACCATATAAAGTTACGATTGTTGGTCTGCTGAAGCCTAGCCTTAAAGAAGACAATGTTATGTTTTCTCTGGAATGCAGTAAGAGGCAGGTTCAATGAGACTTCTGGGAGGAAAGAAGTCCATAAGCTGGGAACCATCACAGACAGTGCATTGGTGGCAGTGCATGTGTATCGCAGTGTTTTGAAATATCTTGAGAGGCTCTTATCAAACGTGGTTCCAAGCAGGCTCCAAGGAACCGTCACACTTATCCGTGGGGAGACTAGCTGCACGCTCCCAGAGAAGAGACGTTGAAACTCATCAGTCAGTGCATCAGTCAGGTTTGCACACTGTTTAGGAGGAATCCTGCGTGTCTGGATTGCTGGAGGCAGGAAGTGCTGTAAAGGACATACCTGCTTCCCCAAACTGGAGCCCTTCAGATCTGCCCCTGGACGACAGGCATTGCATTCCACATTCTGGAGTGTGGGGGAAGGATGCCAGGGAAAGCGCAGTTCCTTCTCAGTGAAGCAGCATCTTTGGTTGACTTCTAAAGAAGAGACCGCTATTGGTACAATTCATTGGCTACTTTCTTTTTGCAGCCCGATATGCATTAGCTTAAAATAATTCTTGGCAAAGTAGAATCCTTCTGCTGGCAGGAGCAAATATCTCCCATCTTCCCTCTGCCTTTATTTAGCCTTTGGTAGATTTATCAATTTGGCACCTTGATTCTGCTTCAGGTGTCCAGCAGCACTCTGTGCAGGCCCTGAGTGTGAAATATGACAAACTTCTGATCAGCTTCTTGAGTATAACTCACCTCACCTCAAGTGCAGTGGATAGAAAGAGCCTTTTCTTTCTCTGCCATAATCCTAGGACTCAAGTTCAGGGACACATGAACAAAAAACATTTATTTACAAAACATTTATGGAACTCTCTGCCACAAGATGCAGGGATGGTTACCGCTGGACAGCTTTAGAAGGAAAATAGATTTGTGGTGGATAAGTCTATCGGCGGCTATTGGCCACAATGGCCCAGTGGAACCTCCACGCTCAGAGACAGTGCACTGCATTAATAACAATTGCCAAGGTGAAATTCAGATGGAAATACTTCTTTACACAGAGAGTTAATAAAATATGGAGTTCGAAGCCAGAGAATGTGGTGATGGCCACAGGCATAGACAGCTTTAAAAGGGGAGATAGAATAGTAGAGGACTAGTTTTATCAGTAACTACTAGCCATGGTGACTAAAGCAAACCTCCACATTCAGAGGCAGTCAGCCTCTAAATAACAGTGCCAGGAGGCAACATCAGTGGAAGGCCTCGGCCTCTATTATTTATTTATTATTTATTATTTTCAATTTATATCCTGCCTTGCGGGGACAAACTGGCTCAAGGCGGTGTACATGGGTAAAATACAATAAAATAATACACGGGTTAAAATGCAATAGAACAATCAATGCACTAAAATTCACATATACAGCATAAAGTACAAATAAGGGCAATACAGCTGATGGCGGCTTCAATAACAATCCAATGGTAGGAGATGGTGTCCAACAGTGTACCATAAAGGCATATTCCAGTGACTCGGCAGTGGCGGCTCCTGATCGAAGGCCTGGTGGAAGACCTCCGTTTACAGGCCCTGCGGAACTGTAAAAGGTCCCCCGGGGCCCTGATGCCCTCCAGGAGCTCATTCCACCGACCCTCAGGGCCCTGTTGTTGGACCTGTAGAAGTCCTGGTTGGCCACTGGGTGAGATGGGATGCTGGATTAGATGGACCATTGATTCGATCCAGCAGGGCTCTTCTGATGTTCTGATTAGGGGAAATCCTCAGCCTCTATGCCCTGTTGTTTCCCTCCAGAGGGACTGGTTGGCCACTCTGTGAGACAGGATGCTGGATTAGATGGATCACTGGTCTGATCCAGTAGGTCTCTTCTTATGTGAAATCGACTCCCTTTCCATCCAGTTCATGGGGTTCCCAGAGACACCTGGTTGGCCACTGAGAGGAACAAGATGCTGGACTAGACAGTACGTGTTTTTCTTAATGTTCTTTGTGTTTTTACCTTTAGAGAGCCTCCAAGTACAGAGGCATTCTACCTCTGAGTATCAGATGCTGGAGGCTGGCAGTCGTGCCCTGTTTGTAAGTATCTGGAGGTTGGTAGTGAGTCAAAACAGAACACTAGATTTTGGTGTGAACCAGTCAGACTGAAAAGAACTCTCCTGTTCAGAATTCTTAAGAATTCCAAAGATCCATCGGAACATATTTGGAAAGGGAGACTCCCCATGAGCCAGAGAGCAAAAAAATTGAAAGTGTGTGGCTCAAAGTAGCATGGGAAACATTGTCCAGAACATTGTCCAAAGAAAATCCTGGCTGGAAAGGCTACATTCCAACAGGGGCTGGATTTGCAGTTTCCAGGGAATTGATTCATGCTCTGTAGCTATACCATTCCGGTAGAAAAGAGTAGCGTCCAGTAGCACCTTAAAGACTAACAAAATGTGTGGTAGGGTATGAGCTTTTGTGAGTCACTGCTCACTTCTTCATATAAATGAGCAGTGACTCAGGAAAGCTCCTCCCCTGCCACAAATTTTGTTAGTCTTTA